CGAGATATCTTAAACTGGATCCCAGTAGAGTGTCGTTTAAGCGCTGCTTGACTAAACGAGACAGTAAGAACATTTAAAAAAAATAAAGATACGCGGCGTTGCCTCTCCATCATCTGTGCGTACACATAAATGAATGCAGTTCGGACAAAATAAAAGGTGAGTTTTACAGATAGTTTACTGAACCTCTTCAAAAGGTTGAGCGCCTTCATACAATAACAGCGAGTAGTGATTTCAGTGCCAAAGTGGACAGATTAAGGAAAACTGAACGACAACTATGTAGCGGCTGATCTGACAGATAATAGCGGCCATCTGCTGCAACTATGCTCAGATAAGCGCCTATTTCTAGCGAATACTAACTTTAGGAATAACGAAACACACTTTGGAAACTGCGTCCGCCCAAATCATCATTCGTCAGCAGATTCAGATCATTATCTAGGACGAACGCGTACTGCACGGGAACCTCCTTTGGTTCTACTTAATGAAAGCAAAGTTAGGAATATATTTCAGAAGCAACTAGAAAAAAATTTAGGCAGCCAGATAAGTGTTGCCTACTCTGAGGCAGCTTGAAATGTTATCCAAAAAGAACAGTATTATCTGCTAGCGTGACAAACCATAAGTTTATGAAGAGACCGTGGCATCTACCGAGCTAATAAATTCTCAGAGACTCAACCTGCCTGGTTCAGGACATGACATCTAAAGAGAGGGAGTGCAGCGGTACCTGATAGTCTAACCTCTGAGACTTACAAGGATGATGGTCCAGTTCTAGCGGTAAGGTTGACTGTGATCTTAGGTAAAATCTAGAAACTGGGCGTAATCCCATCCACCTGGGCTCAAACAATGATTGTCCCAATTAATAAGAAAGAAAAAGGATCCTCTTGTGACAGTCTCAAGGGAACCAGTTTAACTAATGTAGTGTCTAAGATATTAGCCTCGATAATACTTAGACGCCTAACTAGAGCTCGCGGAGAGCAGACTCGAGAAAACCAGGCTGGTTTCAGACCTGAACCTAGATGTATAGACCAAATATTCACACTCCGTCAAGTCATTTAACATAGAAACTCGTTCAGACGTCCCACAGTAGTTGTATTTCTGGACCTTACGGCGGCATTCGACTCTGTTGATCATGAGGTTCTATGGCAGTGTCTGTCATTGAAAGCAGTATCAAAGAAAGTACATTAACCTCATACAGGCCCTCTACTCGAACACTACTGGTTGAGTTGGGAGCTTATGGAGAGCTGTCATTGGGATTAATTACCTCGAGTGGATTTCGTCAGGGCTGTCCACTTTCTCCAATCTCCTTTAATTTTCTCATAGACATGCTTTTAGAGATAACATTATCTTCGTCTGACTTCTCAGAAATAGACCTTCTAACAGGAAATTCACTTGTCGACTTGGAGTATGCCGATGACATAGTTCTAATTGGTGAGGACGCTGAAAAAATGCAGTCATTCGAACACCTTAAGCAACAATGTAAGCTTGTTGGAGATGCGATTCTCTGCTTCGAAATACAAAATTTTGCTTGCATCGGCACGTGAACTAGTGGTAGGGAGTGAAATATTTGAACGTATTGACCGCTTCAATTGCCTCGAGAGTCTCAGCATTGCTGCTGGTTTGGTGACTGACGAATTCTCAGCACGGATGCAGCAGGCCGGACTGGCTTTCGCTGACTTGTCGCATCGGAGGTAGCAGGAGCAAGTAAATTCGTAACTAGTATTCGATCACAGGTGCATTCGATACATTGCTCGTATATCCTGGGACAATCGAGTAAACAACTCAGTTGTTAGGAAACGTGTACAAGGTAAGAATGGTAGATCAATAAATGAAGTAATGACTCTTCGTTATTTGATTGGGACATATGTTACGGTCGCCTAACCACCGTCTGCTTCATCGACCAATGTTTGTGATGTAGGAGTAGGTTGGCAAAAAGCTCGGGGAGGCCAAACCAAAACATGGCACAAATCCACAAAGTCCCTGACAAGTGGACGGATCTGTGTTGATAGGTGCAGAGTACCTGGTTGGGATCAGCAAGCCATAGTATCCGATGGTTAGGCACTTTGAATGACATGGTTGAAGATCGTTTGAAATGGCGCAGGTGCACCCATTATTAGTTTTTCAAATTTTAATCTTCTGGATTCCTCATCTCCTTTATCTTTCTGTTTTTAAATTTCTCTTTGGATTATATTTCTTGATTAATATCTCCAAACCCGTATCCTCTCTATTTCCGGTAATGCTTCTACAACCTATATTATTGTGGGATTCGTATTGACAATTGATTCGCTGTGTGCTAATGTAGTACGGCATTTTCAACTGATGTGCGTACGTATGAAGTACTACACTGCAGCTGACTGAATGACTATACCATAAGTGATTTTCCTGCCCAGAGCACAATAGGAACTGTTTTGAATCTAACCTTCATATTTTCGCTGCTACTTGGATCACATTAAATGTACTTACATCAATGGTGGTGCTTGATATAATAAGGAAAATCACCCTCGTGAGTTACGAAGAAGCTTTTGTTTCCAAAGGACTTTAACCCACAGGTCAGAGCACTTTTTAGCAACGTTTGCTAATGCCATGCTTTACGCGTATTCAAAATAGGGACCGGTAGTAGGCTCAGTAGGGTTCCTAGGAAAGTTAAGCTAACCCAAATGAAACAAACATTCGTAAACACATACAAGGATTAAGTAAACAATGAGAATAAACGGGGATGGTTAAGAGAAAAATCATATATGGATAACTTTTCCAACATATACATACAGAGGCATGCTAAAATGAACCAGCTGGTTCAGAGGAAAAAATGAGTGTAAAATGTGTTAAAAGTGCTGCGGAACTCGAATTACTGATCTCCATGTGTGACGCCTGAATATTGCCCGAAGAAGAAAAAGTTCAAATTTTCGTTTCAAGGACCATAGTTTATTTGTAAATTACGAGTAATAAGTATAAAATGTTTTTTTTTCTAGTAACAATTATAAAGAAATTTACGGCAAGCCCTCAATTTCTAGGCTCCAAAATGCTAAGTCAAAGAATCGAAACTGAAAATGACTAAAAGAACAAGTCTGCGTGAAAGAAGTAAACTCAAAACCCAATGAAATGGTTATATTCATAATCAAGGTTGACAGATAAATAATTTAAAATTCTCCTCTTACACCAAGTCTATACTGACGTTCCATCTAGTGGAGATCATAGATCCACTTTAAAACATTTAGTCCCTTTTATAAATTTTGATGGAACAGTGAGAAGACGTAATTGATCTGAAAAATATGATGTATTTGCGCTATACATTTATAAAAATCAGGTAACACATATACTTGTCTTAATATAAAATGCATTAGGATAGCAAATGTTAACTTGAGATGACATGTGACATTGCTTTGTAATTTTGTTATATATATATAATAGTAACTAAATGATACTATTCGTTGGCCTAAATCTAACTAAAATCATAGTAACAACAATAAATAAGCCACCAGATACTTTATCCTGGAACCCAATATAACTTTTGGTTACATCTTTTCGTCAGTCGATAAAGTGTCGCTATTGAAAATTATTATTGGCAAATAATTTATTCATGGATAGTTGTTTCGTGTTAACCAGTGTACATATCGTAATAACAATTCCAGACAAGGGAAGAAAATATATCCATTATGAATAAAAACAGCAAAAACAAAATAATGGTACATGAATATTTAGTTATAGACAATGAATGTGAATAACTTTGCAATTTAACCTGTTTTGTTGGTACACACCTAGATTGCCAAGTCAGATGAATTAGTCCGCTGAAACTAAACTATTGATACAGTATGTAGTTCGACGTTAATTTGTGTTGGAAAAAAACTAGGAGATGAAACATTCATTAATAGTAGGCTTCACTTTACAAAAACTATAACTTAATTAAATCAAAAATATTAGAATATAGATGTAAGATGAGATAATATGGAAACACTTGAAATCTTAATACCAAACAGGTTAATTGAGGACAGTTCCACCTAGCTCAAAACTACTTTCCAATGAAACGCTTAGTGCATATGGTATCAATCATTTAGTTCAAATATCTTCGTAGTTTATTGAACCTTGAATCCATTAAATAACTAGAAAATGCTTTAAAAAACATAAGGACTAAATCATTTAAACCTGATTGCGGTTTTTTGGAAACGTATGACAAAATCGATTGATGCAGATAACTGTTTTGTGCATCTCAGTGGTAAGTACTTAGTATCAAACCTATAGACACGCTGGTTAGGTGAAATTAATGACGAAACCTTATTCAGTTGTCTCGGATTGCTTTGATCACTAAACTTTACATTAATAGACACATCATTCTGGCAATATTCCAGCGAGTAAACTGATATGTTAAACGTTAAAATGTTCATTTCTACTTATTTTCTGTTTGTTAAATTAAGATCAAAATTTATACTTTATGACGACATACATCAAAAATTACAGAATTGAAAGCACGACGAAATAAGTCAAACTAACTCAATAAATTAGTTTTATGAAATAAGAAGCATTCTAAATTTCAAGCAGTTATGCAGTTCATGAACCTCCAGTTAAATAAGGCGATTCCATAACAATTTAGACTAACTCATGACATTAATTCTGGAACTCACAACCAAACGTATGAGCAAGGGTAAATGGTTTAGTGTTTGATTACATGTGCAACTGAATTTCAAAAATGCTGTCAATCGATACTTTCCAAAACGACAAAAAAACATCAGACAGACCAAATATTACTTGGATAGTGTGTAATTCCAGAAATTAGGACTATAAAAATTTGACGTATTAATTTATAATGGGCTAAGCGTAAAACTAGCAGCATAAAACACCAAGTGGGTTATAATTCGCATTATAATAGTATTAGATGCGTGATGTTCTCATTAATCGGTCGGTTAAAACATTTGAGAAATTATAACCCTCCAATAGCAAAAATTTAAAACTACTGAGAGTGGGATTCATGGGAATGTCATTGTTCTGAACATTAAATATCTTAAGGTGTAGTGAATAATAGCTGTAACTAACTCGGTGCTGAAAAGTTAATTTATTGAAATAGTTGAGACGAAAAATTCGCTATATTATATAAGGTAGAAATATTTGTTTACGGTAATAGCTGTTACACATTCCCATGCTCAAGAAACAATAGTCATCAAAAAGCTTAAGATTTTATTGCTGAAATAACGATCGTATCAACATAACTCAGTGCAAAAACAATGATAAGGATCACAATTATCAACAAGTCAACTGGCAAATAGACTCCGGTACAGGTTCGGAAGTGCGCGATCTGTGCATATACAAGAGATTAAGTTTGTTGTACAGAATTTTTTATATTAGAATAGCATTTCACAAAGTAATTTTATGCACATGTGATACAATAATCATGTGTAGCAGTAATCAACCCAGGTAGTGAAATAAAGTTCCATGCAAAAAAGGTTCATATAAAAGAAAATGTTTCAAACTTATTATTCTACAAAAGTGTACATTTATTACTGCACAATGGAAAATACAAATGAGTCCGTATCCACAAACTTCTGGAGACATACATAAAACGTTAGCTAAAAAATTGATTGGCAAGGAATTCAGTAAGTTTACTAGGAATCAAACAACAATGTCAGTTGCTTTACTTGCTACGGTAACTTGCTTACAAGATTGAGGAATCCAACTAGTAGAATCCTTTAGATCACCATTAACCATCGGTTCGACAGTTAGTCTAGACAATTCATTTGATAATTTACTTTCATGATCCGCGCTGTGGTCCAGTTGTTGGTCCTTGTCATTCGGTGTGAAGAACACGCCAGATATAGCTGATGAATTAGCTGCTTCAATCATATTCTGACGTAATAAGTCTATTTGTGCGGCTGTTAGAAATGCATTTGCCATAGGAAAATATTCATTACAAGCAGAACGATACCTTTCTATGACAGAAGCGTCACAACGCCCCAGTGAAGTCCATTGACCTTTCCGTAAAATATCTAAACATGTACGGCATTCCTATAAAGAGAATTTACGTAAGATGTGTCATTATTTTTACCATAAAAAATAAAAGTTTTAAAGTACAGTATGACATACAAGAAGAAATTAAGTATGGTTTATAAAGAAACAAAAAGAGTAAAGTAGTTTATGTACATATAATTAAAGTAACACTGCTACTTATATTATGTAATGTAAGTAGTCTACTTCTCCTATGTAACATGTCTTTTGTTTGGTGAAGTAAGACTAAAAGCAGCAACTTAAAGTCTGAGGGCGAAGTCGTGCTGCTAACCGTAGAGAAAAAAGACAGCAAGTAAGGTGTTTCCCTCGGACAAACAGTGTCTGCAGCAATACTACCTCCTCACAAAGGAAAGAATTAGAAAATTTTAATAAAATGTTACACCTCACCTTTTAAAGTACATAGCTAGCACAGGAAAGAGTTAACATAAAAACTGCGTGACCGACCTCGAGCAGTTGTCCATCGGGCTCTGCAGTCAGACTTCCAGATCAGCAAGACCATTACCGATTCAGCTCTTTTTCATGTTCCTCAATAAATCATTCATATGCACTTTTGTTATCTAGCAAATTTCTGAATTAGTCCTTTCAGCTTTAATTTATTCAAAGTCTATCACGTAAAATTAAAATTAAAGATTTTCAAGGTGATTTATTTAGAGCTATTTTACTGTTCGGATAGTAAACAGATATTTCACTACAAGTGGGTGACGATAAGAGACGAAATAGACGTACAACCAACTACTGTGATCGGTTTCACTTTTTAGATGCATTATATCATATTTTTTCCGAATAAATCATTATTAAGCATATGGAGAAGCAAACTAAGTACTTCTGCATAAAAAATTTTTCATTTCGGTAATAAGTTAGTGGTAACGTAGCTCTATATCTATCAGTAAGTTGGCGAAAACCGTAGCTGAGGAATGACTCATCAAGGCAAAAATTCATCTCACAACCGTTGTATGAGATAGATGGGAACAACAAAACCGAAGTAATAAAATAAGTCAGTTTCGTCAGAAAAACTGACTACAATGTTTGATAGCTTGATGAGAAAACAAAACAAGTGAGGAGACATTAGTTATTAACATATCATAAGTAGTTTCTCCTCGGTATCGAAAAGAAGTAAATGAAAATGTAAACACTAACACTCACTTGCCACGTAACACCTTTAAAATTATCACTTGGTAAAGGAATCTTAGAAAGATAATTATCTCTATGCTGTGGATCAATCAAACATTGACACAGGGTATCTGGAAAAACAACAACATAAAATAAAAAACAGTTAAGTATTGATAAGGATTGACAGAAAAACTGAAATGAAAATATTTAGCGTTAAAATATCCAAGTGATATAGTTTTAGGGTATAATATGAGAAAAATCAAAGGAACTCAACAACATACGTTATAATATTGGTTTTTCATTTTCGTCAGTGAATAAACATAGCTTATTTTATGAAAAATGAGTGTTTTTGTGATTATGAAGGCTGATTTATCCTTATAAAAATGTAATACTGTTTAGGTGAACATGATTAGTTTTTAAATTATACAGCACACTTCTTCCTAGAAAAACACTTAGACTTAACAGACTGGAATATATTATGCGTAATATAACTTGACAAAGTGCTAATACTGTCACTAGTATGGCAATTTGTCAAGATTGGGGTAAGTCTGCTGCTCGCTGTTTAATACAGCGCAAAGAAAGCGAGTTTATCAGTCAGTCATGTACAAAGTAGGACCGTATACACCTGTGCAACGGTCCAAGTCGCTATACCACATTAGCACAGCGAGATTAAATTATTTCAGGACAAAATCTTAGAGTAGTAGAGATAGTAACAGTCTTAGTAGTTGAAAAGATTCGGTAAATAAAAATAAAGAGGGTATGAAAATATTTTAGAACTGAGGTTCTAGCGTAAGGCAGAAAGTGAATACACCGTAGTTTTAAACGATTATTTGTCATATCACCCAAAGTCTCTATCCACCGGTCACGATAATCTCATGGGTCCCAACCAAGTAGTTTACATCTACCTACATGGCTCAGTCTAATTGTCAATAGCCTCATGAACTGGTGCCATGTTTTGGTTTGACCGTCATTTAACTTCAGCCTACTAAAACATCAGCCGTTATCACGTGTCGAGATGCGCGATGGTTGGGTATATGTAGCACATGTCTCAACAATTTCAGTTCAAAATTAACTGCTCATCACTCGATTTGCCATTTCTACTTAGTACTCTATACCTGATATCGGTACTGTTCACTTGGTAATTACCAAGACATATGAGTGATGTTTTGAAGACGCCTATGCTAATAACCTACGAATAACCGATATTCTTAATGACCATGTTTCGCGACTATAAAGTCGAACGGAGCACACTGTTGCGCAGTAATCTGATCCTTTAATTTACAGATGCATATATCACCTACACCATAAGTGATGCAAGTTGGCAAAATCCAATCAAATCTTCTGAACCTGTGACTTGATTTCTTCAGACATCAACTCATTAGGACGGTAGATGAAAATATACTTATTCACTAACCATTGATTAAAACCGCATCAAAAATTACCATGAAATATATGCATAATCTTTTTAGATATCCGGTCAATGAATTGAACTAGGCAGTAGTTAACACTAATTGATCAATTATTCAATGTATGAGAACCATTAACAAAATCAAATTAGCTGCCTTATCTGAGAAATATAAATCATCACTACCGAATTATGAATGTTTCCCGTACAACATCAAGAAAAACGTATCCTAATTGTTTTAGTGAAAGACGAAATTCTTGAAACTCATAAGGAATATGATTTTTCACATGATTGTAAATATGTTGAGGTAGTCAAAATGTATAGTAGAAATGTTAATGCAATTTTAACAGCAGTTGAAAAACAGCTATCATTATTTTTGAAGCCATTCAACAAACTTCAATAAACTGGATTGAAAAATCTTAACTAGTATTGAACTGGATCGATAAGATAATGAACGGTTCAGTAACTATTTCCATATTTTGAACACTTAAGGCTTATTATCCTATTTTTTTATTCATTAATAATACACATGAAAAATAACAATAATGAACATTTAAACAGCCAATCATTTAGGAGCACATGAAAGATATAAAATAAATGGGTATACATGACGATCGATCATTTAACACATTGAAATTTTTTCATTACATAACAATTTCTTACCAAAATTGAAAATGATGTAGGAACATTAAAAAATTTTAATCTCTGTCAACCTACTTAAAAGTGAGGGTCGTAACTGGCTTAAGAGTTTGACTACTGTTATTCGTAAAAATGAAATCGGCTTTTGCAATATCTGGAAGTCACGATTGCGAGTTCGGGGAAAAACCTCAGTTATTGTCAGTTTATTTCATCTAAATATTACATTGATTGCTATTTTGGTTTAAAAAAAATGATTATTCATACACTTTTTCAAGGCATAGATGAGTAGCATTGTGTTTAAAGAATATCCAGTGACTAAGGTTAATATTCTTGCAGTCTCTTGTATAAAAATATACTAACGACTGAATCTTGAAATAGTACTCGAATTAAATTAAACTTTTCTGCGGAACTTGAAAGCCTTGGGTTTATTATACGCACAGAAGTAGATGTTCAACGCTGAAAAATACAAACTAGGGCGAAATAATCGATCTTCCAGCCAATTTTAGCTTTTGGTCAAAATCTTTAAAAGTTTGTCTAGAAGAATGTTGACACTTACATCTAAATACATGAGGATATATGTCTTGATTACGCTGATTAAATCTCTCATTATATTCTTTAACAAAAGAAATATTTTCTGGCCACTCGTTGAATAACTTTAGGACTTCAGATGTAAGAACTTTACCAATTACATCATCTGATTTTCCTCGATTGTGTAGTTGCAGAAGAAATCTCACACAGCATTCATGAAACCAAGGATTGTCACAAGAATTTGCAAGTTGTAAACCACGAGAAATCCATTTGAGCATGAGCAGAAATTTTTCTGTCAAAAATGAAAACGAAAGTAAATTCAGTGAAACTAAGTCACAATTACAAAATTTGATGTTGCACATAAAAAACACTTGAACTATTGCAATGGGACTAAACACAAAGTGATTGCGGAATAAGAATTCATTTGTTAATGGCCGGCACGTCAGTCAGTCGAATTCTAGATGGAGACTGGTACAAATGTGCATTAGCTCGACATTTCACACTAAATTAGCATGAGAACGTAAAGTCGACAGGATGAACGACAAGAGGAATTATAATAATTGTAGTAGTAATGCTGACAACACAGAGTGACTAGTGATAATATGGTTCGAAAAGACAGAATGAAGAACGACGTATGAAGGAATGGATAAATAGATCTAAGCTACTGTGATCAATTTTAAACCATATCATCCAATATCTCCGATTACTCATCACTGTCATCGCTTAAATCTCAACCAGGCAGTCTGCATCTAGCAACATGGCTTAGTTCAAAAGTCGATGAGTTTGTGGACTGGTGCCACATTTTGGTTTGGCAGACTCTTTTACAGTCTGCTCATGAAACAGTCATTATCCCACGCCAAAACACGTAATACATGTCACAGTCGCCTCAACCGACGAAAATTCACAACTTTACCAACCGATATGTAACCTTTACTTAGTGTGTCGAGTTTAACTTCTGTATGGACCACTTAAATGTTCAGACACACGCAAGTAATCCTTAGGAAAACGTATGATCAAAACCGGTGGTCTATGTATATCTGCTTTTACAGCGGTAGAGCATTATGCTAATTCTTTTATGGATAGACAAAAATCTCACATTCACCACAAGTGATGCCAAGTGACGAAGCCTAATCGAACTTTCTGACTCCGTGCTGAAACTTGGTTAGACATCAACTCACCAAGGTTTGTGAAACCTTCAGGGTAAGTGAAGTGGTTGGCGCACTCAACTGCATTCAAGCTAAATGTACTGAGTCAAGTCTGACAAATTATTTTAGTATTTGGTAGTAATACATAGGAGTAATATTAGACTCTTTGATAGTTTTTAGTTCAACAACATAATATGATTTTCATAGGTTTGATTTGAATTTCTGTAGAATTCTTCACAAAATTTTAAAATGATAGTTGTGGAGTGTGTAGTAAATTTTGAACAGAATAATGACTATTTAAATTTTCACGTACGTTTTCTTTCATAGACTTCAAAAGCCAAACAATAAGCTTCAACAGTTTTAGGAGACAAATCCAACAAGGGAAGAAGAAATTTTGATGCCTCTTCAAGTGGATCCTCAGGCTATTTTATTGAGAGAAAAATTAATAATGAAAAGTATAAGATCAAAATTAGTAATATAGTGTTTAGCAACCACTAAATTAAGTGACGAAATAGTGACATAAACAATAGAAAACAATTAGATGTAAGCTATATAGGGAACGATGCTATCAATTTATAATCTGTGCATTCACAGTTAGCTGGACGCGTTAAGTAATATATACACAGATAATCTTTACAGTTTTATATCTGTGTGTTATTTACTGAGAAATAGAAGCTGTAAATCTTTGGTATGAGTTAGTTTGCAAGCAATAATCTAACTGGGGCAATTATACACGAATAATATAAGTCTAACTCAAAATCTTATGTCATCGAACTCATTACCAGGTGTGAGTGTATTTGACTTGATTTTGCATAGCTTTGAGAGCACGGATAATTGAAAACTCGAAATACAGTAAATAATTTTATTGTCACCCTGGTTGTTGATGGTTGTCCAATGATGAACTCAAACTATAAGTTGACCACTTTTAATACAAAATCTGAAAAACGCATTAACTAGAAAAAAACTGGTGGTGACTATGAAGATGATTTGCCTAAGAACCTGGAAATATTTGGGCTAGTTAATTATGGTTAATGTGAGTCACAGTGATTGCATGAGTTGAAAAAGTGTAGACAAGTATTGTAGCTGACTAATGAAAAACAGGAAGGAAACACGGTCCATGGAAGCACGCAAACAGTACAACAGTTTAACCAGTCATTCTCTAGTGATTCGAATAGTAGATGAAATGACGACTAAACAAAAGACGGAATTACTATTAATATTTACTGTTAAAATCTGGTGCCGAAATTGTAAGTAAAGAAACTTGTCAGTCAAGGATTAGACCAAAGTTTCCAATTTTACTTAAAAACATCATTATCATCAACAACATCAATCTTCAAGCTAAAAACGGTCATTTTACAGAGCAATTATTAAACTGTACGTGAACGTTGAGTATCGTTGCCAAAATATATACACTATTGAACATGAAAAGACTAACAAGTACTTACTCTGGCCAGAAGATTAGCATCTAGCTCGTTTTCCGCCGAGGATGGGTTATCTGTAGTTGTCTCCTCAGATGCAGGCTGTCTTGAACGAGCTGCTTGTTCTCGACGTTCCTGTTCAGCCCGAGCTCGAGCAGCTTCCGCTTCCGCACGCTTAGCGGCTTTCCGTTGTTTATTTCGTAACTTTTTAGCTTCAGAAGATGACATACCGTCTAGTTTTGCATTTAAAAGTGTTAAGATATAAAGTGATAACTACATGTTAACGTTAGATGAGGTCATTTACATCCAGGAGAGAATATCAAATTCACTATAATATTGAACAAGCTTTCATAAATCAATAAACAAATTGTTTAAACTTAAACGATAGGTGGGAATTTTTTCAAAGGTTGGTCTGAGACACTATTTACAGATAACAATTTAACTGATCGAAGGGTTGGTTACGAAAGCAAACGTAAAAAACGATAATCATTTCTATCCAGACACAAGAGGTTGGTGTTCAACTAACTGTAGTAGTCATTGATAGGTCCAACCATATCAACTGATTGCGAAATCATTAGTTAGGTAAACCCAGAGTCATTAACAAGTTTAGTATTTTTACTATCTGATGATTCGAAAGAAAACGACTCATAAAGAGATGAGTATTTATATATACTACTATGTACAACTTTTTTGCGAAGAATATTAAAAAAATCTGCCCTATCATCAAATCTTTGTTCAGAAAACTGATATCTAGAAAGCAGAATAAATCACTAAAAACATAAGTACTGCTGTAAAAAGGTGGAAATCACCTATTTTTATCCATGTAGCAAGCAGTTCATTGAGATTAGAGCATCCAAGCGAGCGACGAGTTAAATCACAGAACTGACACACGCCACAGAAAATAAAGTGACAATAATGACGAAAAATAGGAAAGATAAAACCGTGCAATACGAGTGAGGCTGAAAAGTCTTACAAAATACAGCTAAAATGAAGATGTGACCTAAATAGCTTTCAAAATTTCTCTTGCAATACGATTTCTAACTTAACATTACTTTCAACAGTAAAAATGAAAGAACCACTTAGTGTTTTACAATGCACCACCTAAAAACTTTTGAGACTTAAATATACATGAAACCACTGCCAGCAAAGGAATTAATTTTATTTGACAGTAGACCTCAATAAAAAGTGTAAGGGACTTGAAATACCTTTACTATTTATGCAAAAACTCATACTACTTGTTAGATTTGGAGCAACATCATGATATCATTTAACTAACAATAGTAGGAGATTAAAGACTTTACTTTTTAGATACCACTTTACAAACACAATAGTGGCTAAAACAATCGTTTATTCTACCAACTGTATCAAATATGTACGTTTTCCAGTGCTAAAAACAATTACATAATAAGACAAATTAAATGCTTAGATAGGAATTGATGCGTTCCATCAGTCACACATTAGTCAAACAGTGAGTAATGCTGGTGGGCGTACACCATTAGTCAAAATTAGGCATCACTTCCTAGGGTTGAAGATGTAGCTTCGTTTTCTAAGGGATAAATGCCTATGTTAATGAACGAGTTGTGCATATGTTCTCAATTTGGCCGACTAATGAAATCTTCCTATTCACTTTTGGTTTTTTTGTGTAAGTGGCTGGTACGGACACTGATATAATAAGCATATATATCAGTATGAGACTTGGGTAACTGCAGAATGTAAAATTTACGGGAGATGGGGATGACATTCAAGTCGACGAGGAGAAACCCTAACTGTCGGAAACTGGAATATTGCAGAAATAAGTCCATTTGAGAGGTGCTCCTAAAATGTGGTTACAATGTTTGTGTTTTACAGCCAGTTGGAAGGACTTGCAATCTACTTTCTAACAATTATAACATATAAAACCTATCTGTGAAAAGACCAACTTTCTAAACAATATATTAAAAGTTCTAACCATTTTCTCTGAGAGGAGATTCATCAATACTGTCCAGAGGTTGAGAATATAGCTGCAAGTAAATCTAGAAAAAAAAAAGCCAAACGTTAGTTTAAGTGAGACTACAATGTAGGACAGAATCAACATAAAGATAGACGTGTATCAGAAGTAAATAAAGGTAATCCAACTGTATACAGCAAAATTCCAGATGAAGAACATATTTTACGACCCTTCATCGTTTTGTTAATAGACAGGTATCGCCAAAGTGAAAATTGCTCACATGCGCATGCGAAGAGGTCTCTGAATGAGAAATTTAAATTTGGGTCGACGTCTTAAACAAGTTATCAACCGGAACATCCTGGAGCTAATGAACCATACTTTACACAAACAAATTAACCACCTGACAGGTGAGTGCTCGGGCTAGGATTGGGTTGGACAGAGACTAAAAATGAGTGCATTTGTTTTCAGAGTTACTGAAAATTAGGATCATGTGCAGAGATGTGAACTTTTGCATGATGTCATCAATATAAAAATCAGTGATCATAAACTTTATTAGAAACGATCCTAAACTGCTTATTGACTTTCTCTCCCATAAATTTGTTTGTCACTCTGTGTTATTTTAGCGTCCAAATTTTCCCGACCCCTTCATTTTTTTATGAGGTAGCATCGCTCGAGATATTGTTGATCCGTGCAAAACCTCATACTACAGTCACACGTCGATACAGCTAGTAGTGTGACTTTGGCGTCCAACATTAAATCCTCTGATTTTGGCTACATCGCTATCCAACCAACTAGTCTGGGGCAGAGAACCTTAAAAAACAAGTGCTCCGGACAATGCAGTGTATCTGCGTTGTTACGCTAGCCAAGTCCGACCACCACATGAAGATAGAAACTACGGTCGATCTGTTTGCTATTCATATTGTACTGTTGATTTAATATGGTGTAAACCCAGATTTTCCCAAGGTTCTACTGTGTAGAACTAACTGAATTTGATGGGAGCGATAAAACAAATTATTTAAAAACACCACGTTATACAGTGCTCAAGAATTAGGCATAATAAACAGGTTTTAGTAGGTCGAAGAATGAGTTACCGCCAACCACCTATTGAACTTCATTTTGTTTACTTTTTCTCTAGATTATGTATATAAGCATGTAACTTTATGACATAAAAACCTATTCTTCCGGATTAATGGTAGTCATTGATTACAAGCCGTTTGGAGACTTAAATCAATAACATAGTCTCGTGAGTAGCCATTGCTCCATTAAATGATACCACTGAGTTCGCCTACCGTTTAGCATTTTAACGATTGAAAATTTCGTTTCCTCAATCGTTAAAGACCTCCTCGATAACACTTCGTTAATCGGTAAATCATTATTGAAGACTAATAACATAGTAATCGCGCTGAAATCATTCTACTCAAACTAGAACTAACATAACGAATATAGCTCTACACGGAGTACCAGATAAATGGTACAAAAATCAACCTTAGCCGGAAATCGAGATGGTTTTGTGAATAACTTGACGAATGAGATTCTGGGGCAAGATTTAATAAATGCATATTAAACGTATTTATTTAAAGATACTAAGTTTGGTTTGGCAAATTTTACTTATGTGCAGTGGCAAAAAATAAAGCAATTAAAAGTAGTGGTCTACCAAATATTGCAGATGTCATCTATACTTCGAAAGTGAGACAATCAATTTTTGGAAAAAGTTAGAGAACAGAACACTTAGACTTACTTCAACTGCAAGTTGAGCGGTATCAAAGTAAGACTGATGGTCCCGTAAACGATCTTCCAACCGCAGTGTTTCAACATATGACCGCAGGGTAACTTTCCGTAGACAATAGGAATGGAAATCTAACTGATCATCAAGAATATTTCTGTAGTGCTACGAGTTATTGATGATTTAAAATATAATAATCCAATAAATATAAATAAGATTCTTCAAAGATAAACATATATTTACAAATTAATTTGAAAATAGAGTGAAATACTAAGCTATCAAAAGGGTTATTTGCATCCCTAGATTTAGCGATTTCACATTTTAAATTCAAAATTTTTGTTTAGATCACGAAAAAATAAGTCGATTTAGTTGGTCATTACTCTGAAAATAATAACAGTAATATGAGTATTAATTCAGAATACCTTAACAGTCAAATCCCGTTATTTTGTTGTTAAAGTAGAAACGTTTAACACGTGCGATTATTCCCAAAATACATGTGCAATTACAATTCAATAGTTCTCTGAGGTGATCTTTGATACACTGAACTTATAGTCAAAATATATACTGTTAAACGGTAGCAGACAAGCCTGAAGAAGTTCCAAGTGAAAACCGCATTGCATTTACTGATAGAGTAGGAAGTGTTGCTGACTACTCATATACATTGTGTTGATATGAACTTGTAAGGATTCCATACACTAAATATCTACATACATTTTGAAGCCAAAGACAATAAGGTTCATTTATTGTGATTAAAAATCAGATAAGATGGTGAATTAAGACTGCTTATTGTTTACTTCGTAGACTCTAAATTCTACGAAAGGTGATATTGTGAACAAGGTATCATAATCCATATACGCGTTTAAGCAATCTATTTGAATGGGTAAGATCGTGTTGCTGACGTTTTCTCATACTCCATGTCTCTAATGAATAAAATTAAACTGGGATTTAAACCTTATGTATAGTCACTTTCGAAATATACGAAATTTGATCACCAAAAAATGTATTTTCTATTCGCACTTAAGTAATCAATATGCGGAATGCTTAAAGTTTGTGACAGCCCATACTAGGAGTTTGATATTTGAGAGCAACATTCCAACACCTGAGACACGGGAAATTGGGGGCACATTTAATTCACAATACGATATCAAGGAAACTGATGTCTGATAAAAAGTATCTATGAAGACTGGTATATTTTATTACTAACAAAAAATGACCTTGAGAGTGCTTCCGGACTGACTACTGAGGAATTCTTAAAAATAAGTTTGAAAGTTGTCCGACTGTAAACAGAGGTCAGTCAGTCAGATGCAACGTAGAACTTCGTACGTAAGTACATCAGTAAGCAGAGGTATCTTACGTGATCTACTATTGAGAGTACCATCATAGACTAAAATACGAATAGGATAATTTAGCTTGCAGGACATTAATCACTAGCTGGTTTACGCATTTAGCTTCAGTTTCAAGTAGTTATTTACAGAAGGAAACCCGCTTTAATTCATCTTACGGGTCTGGAAATTTCAAACAATCCAGAACATTAGTTGATTTTATCCGAATCAGCGTCGATTAATTAAGCAAATCCTCGAAATCTAGAGTTTGTTGGCTACAATCAAATACTGTGACTTTTTGAGTCAGACATGTATTCACATACAGAGTTTAAATCTCTCTGTGTCTTCGTTTTCGGAGCCCATTAGTGACACAAGCACTTAAATTGCAGTTAAAAACCGAATGTGAGTTGTAGAGAAACCTAAAACTAGGTAGATTCAATTCAATGGTCAAGTGAATATTAGTTTACCGGAGTTATATTGGTTGCATAACAACAAGTCCTTTGGCAGGACATATAGCTTACGACTAAATGATCATAAATTTACACTAGATACATATTTACCCAACCTAGCCTACGAGTTTCAGAAACTGTCAATTACATTTTATCTATCAATTTAATGGATTAAAACCATTTCACACATAGTTCTTTGAAAAAAATTCAAGAATTTATTAGTTTTTATAAAGACGTTCGACTGTATTACTATCAAGACCGTCTTTATAAAAATACTACTAATCACTTACCTGCTGTACTTCATGACATAACTTAAGGGCATCTCCGAGTCTACCCATTTCTTTGAGTGCCCTTGCATTATCCAACAGAAACCACATACACTGCATTTCGGACAAGTATTCTTTTGGCGATGTGTTTCCCTAGATTATAAACAGATAAGTTATAACAGTATTACTCTTGTAAATTTAGAAGCCATGTTTGTAGCATCTTCAAGGCGATGAGCTTCCACCATGAATTTTGTGCAACGAGCATTAATAAAACGATCAGCTGTGTCTAGAGATTGGGCTTCTTCCATCCACCGACTGGCTGTAATGTAGTCCCCTGCATCATAAAAGACATCTGCTTTTAGGACATAAAAGTCAACTAACGTAGGTGTTGACAGCAATTGAGAGTCTATGGTTTCAATGGCTTCCTAAAAAATGAAATGATACTATTCATGAAATGTACCTGATATTTTCTTTTGAAGTTATAGTACTGAGCTGATAGATAGTTAAGCCAAACATCTGTTGTAGGAGCTTCTTTCTCACTGCTTTCCTGTACATCGAGAGATCCGTTAACATCCATACTGTTACGGTATTTAGTTAGAAGACTTTCAAAAGCTGTAAGTTTTTCTGGATCACTCAGGAGCTCCACTAGTTGTATGAATAACGGAGGGACACCTTTCCTGATGCATGGCTTCAGGTAAGTATCCAAGCGCTGGAGAAACTCATTACCTACAACTAAATAAAAAAATTTTCAAATCAAACCTGAGCAATAATTCAAAATCAACCGTTTGGATAGACGAGACTTAGGGTATCGGGCAATAATCGACTCGTAGGTTTTTTTAGTTGTTTCAGAGTTTATGTTTGTTTTACCAGTTAATAAGGCTGTATTTGCTTGCACCAAAAGTTCAAAATATAAACGATTTTCTTGATTTCGATCGATTAGACTCCATGAACATTCAGCTGCATCCTCATATTGTCCAAGTTTCAAGTGGAGTTGTGCTATAAACAGATAATAGGGAAATACCAACCTACCTTTCATTTCTAAAAACGATATTTTGTCAACGATTTCGTTGCTATTTTGAATGAGATGTTCTAAGGCAGCCTCATCTTTTCCAGCTTCAAGCATTATCATTGCTTGGTAGAGTAGTAGCTCACTGTGTTCATAATCGAATTGGGGTATCTCGCTTTGTCCTTTTTTAAACTCATTGATAACTGTTAGTGCGATTTCGTAGTTTCCCAACAAATGATGTATCAAAGCATAGCCAATCCAGGATGCTTTTTGACTAGGTCTCAGAAGAAGCAACTTATACCGTATATCCTGACAAAATGTTATTATAAAAAAATTAATGATATACCCTGCATCCTTCATAATCTCTCAACTGCATTTGTAAGACAGAAAGATCCCTTAACACCTGCAAATTCTCGTTGTCTAACTTTAGAGCCTGCAGGTAGCATTTTATTGCTTCTTCGTACTTGTGGTCAGATTTATGAATGAGACCGTAAATATGCCAGCCTTTTATGATTACTCAAAGTACAGGAACTTACAGACAAAGCTGGTGATGTTCGCTTTTAAACCACGTTTCACATACTCCCTGGCTTCATCTTTCTTACCAAGACAGTTTAATAAAATACCCTTCATCGCTAGGGTTTCTGAAATGAATTTATGACGTTTAATCACTGGATAGACCGAACTTACCGCCATGTTCGCTGAATTTAGGATTGCTTAGGATTTGTTTAGCATACTTTAGTCCATTTTTGTACTGTTTTTGGTCATAATATTTCTGTGAAATATACATAAACGGAAAAAATATACACTAACAACAACTCTTTTGAAGATTGAAAGTTCTTTGGGAGGAAGAGTATAAGTGGACGATTGTTTACTCATCGTCGAACACAACACATGAACTTTAACGCCTACTCAAATCGCGAGCGTACACATTACGCGCTTTAAGAAACACATTGAGCTACAAGGTTCCAATGATTAGAATCAGACGTTTTGTGAATGGTTTGAGACGTTTTACACGAATTGCTGTGCTGATATTTTGATATGCCAGCTAGAATACCTCGTGATCCCTCAGTGAAGGAGTGTTTTAGTGTGCTGCAGATATTCCGGACACCGAAGTCCATATCATGATTTCACTGAAAGATAATAAAGTATGCTGTAAATAATTTGTTGGATTTTCGTTCGCTGTTGAGCTTGGAAAGTCTCCTTTAAGTAATGAAGTCACTAAAAAAGTATTTTAACTAGTAAGGTGAGGTGGGAATTCAGTTTTACTGGTTGGTTCAGTGCTGATTGAATAAGTATGCAGCGCCACTTGATGGACTAAGGATGGAAAATCTTCAAACTTAGATTAGGTGTTAACAAACGATCAGCTCCTGGTCGAAGATGTTTGCGTCCACACACCAATAGGAAGTAGTAACCATGGCGCATTTATGTTTAACATAGTCGTAAACAAAACTCCCGAACGGGACGAAAACTGGCCGAACCTTCGCTACACTAGGGCGAGTTACATGCGCATGAGAGAAACTTTTCTATATGCTCCTTGTCCACGAGAATGATGGAGGTTGACATAAGGTGATCACTGTCAAATAGTGAGATATCATCAGTCGTAAACAACATGTCTCAGGTACACAACACACCCAGAAACAGAAGGAGAAGTGTTCAGCGCGGAAATAAATACTTACTGCAGGTAAAAGTATGAGCGGAAGGATTCCGACTGTAGGTCTTGTTTGTTATCGAGAAACAGATGCTATGCGAAAGTTCGATGTGATGGGAGATGCTTTCAATTGAAGCTAGCTGTCCAGTACAGGCAAACCCTCAGCATCTGTTTAGGTTCAGGACTAAAACAAAAGCCAACGAATCAGGGTTTGTGTTCTCTCAAAGTTACGAATGAAGAAGACCTCATCAACCTAGAGATAGCTGGGATCTTCAATGCAAACTTCACCGATCAGCTAAATCAACTGCCTACATGATTATAGTACTACTCAAATCTAGCAACAAATTATGGCCTAGGGAATATTCCACTTACTCTAGACTTAGTACTTCGTGCCCAGGAAAAACATTAAGATGTGACAATATTCTCAAAAATATTTTCAAAAATACTCAGTTCACCTATAAGTAACCTGTTCATGCATTTGTAGTGGAAGAAGAAAAATAAACATTATTGTACTCGTTTTGTTTAACTGTACCAAAAACACTTCTTCGAAATCTTGCACGCGACGTTCTCTTCGCGTTGCCACCATCTTTATTTATTTGCTGCTCCCTATGTAATGCCAGCGTTCTCCTTCAATAAACAACTCGAATATGGATTTATTTGGTTCCTCTTTTCGTGACGCGACCGTATGGAACATTTAGTGGTGAGCATAGTCAAGCTGGTATCACGGACTCGCTCACAACACATTCACTGGAGTCGCAAAAAATCATAGGTGGATTGAAACAAGCTACTCTCTCTACAATATTCAAGGCAGGCGATAAAAAGGACCCAGATTGCTGCAGACCATTCGCATTACTTTCAATACTATCGAAGGTAATTGAAGGGCTTATGAGCGAACAAATGAGGGAGCACATGCATAGCTATGAAATACTGTTTGAAGCTGAACACGGGTTTCGGAAAGGCAGGTAGCGCGCATCCAATATTCTCATAGCATGGGACAGTTAGACATCCTTCTTAGACCGAAAAATACCGGTGCATATAATATTTCTTGAGTTTGCAAAGCCTTTGACACAGCATCCCACGCACGCCTAACCGCAACCGTTGCAGAAATGGGCTTCACTGACTAACTCCTATCTTGTATCAGAAACTACCTTGACAATAGAAAGTTTCGTTCCAAGGTTAATAGAGTGCACGCAAGTTGGAGAGTTTCAACGTTGGGAGTTTCTCAGGAGTCGATCTTATGTCCACTTCTCTTATTGATATTCACTAGCCATCAGTTATACAAAGTTGGCTCAGCGTCAATGATCTACGCACACGATGCAAAGAACCGGATGTCCATTGAAAGCGAAGAGGATTCGGCTAAACTTAAGAAGGGCCTTACATCCATTGAGGAATGGGTATTGAAAAACGGTTTAAAACTAAACCAGTAGAAATGCCACGTCATGTTCATTCTGCTTACAAACGCAAACGATTTACACCCTCTATGGAAGTCCCTGCTTAATGTCTCCTCAGAGTGCGATCTCGGATTAACAGACACGGAACTACATTGGGACGCAGCCAAGGCTAACTCAACTCTTTACTTCATGAGAAGACAACTTGGTGCCATCATTCTAGAATTATTCCTAACATTGTTTAGAGAATAAAACCTACAAAGATAGACTCAATCACTTGAGATTATTCTCGCTGAGTTGTACGAGAATCACAGGTGATCTGATAATAGCGCGCAGCGTATTAAGCACTCCAAACCGTCCCACTATGAACATCTTGTCGAAACATCACGATAACGCTCCTTGAGCCAATAATCGAAAAATTGCACATCAAAGAGCGAATACTCAGATTCGTGCACCTCTTGGACAAGCTGTTCATGATGCATATCTTAAGACCTGCTAGTTGTTACCATTGCCATCTCCTCAGGTCACTCAGTTAATCTATCTCGCCTATTATCTCTGTTTCCTCTCCTTTGCTTACACTTCGGTCCTCTCTCACAATATTCACTACCAATTAATAAACTAAATTCATCTATATATTACTCAGTTCTCAAAATTTTATTCATATGAGCATTAGAATTTTATCCTTATCGCCCTTATTACTCTCCAAATTGCAGCTAACTGATCTCCGGCCTGGTAACGTAACGGTTGCTAGTATCCAGAAACCCTAATGCCCTGAAACAAACGTTTCATTCAAATCCCGAGACATGAAAACTCATAACCAACTACCAGCTGACTAGAATTAGATTTTCGAGTGGCTAGACCTACATTCATTGGACATTACCGAACACCTGGAACCGTACCGAAAGAACAAGAATTGAGCGCGAAGAAATCAAATTGGTTTACACTAGCTCGCGAAAAATTTATTGGATATTGGAAACACTTTCAAAGCGCGGTTTTTGGATTTTTTAAATATTTTTGTACGTAGTATTTTTTTATGCTTATAGTTGCACTCAGCCATGATTATTGTTTTATGAAGCACAGTGAGTATGTTTCATGATTTAGGTTTTCATCTGCAAGTTCGATTTTCCTTCATTCATAAGTTTTCAGGCGTGACTTTTCAAAAATATGATATACGGGAATTTCGAGTCTCGGTTGTTTCTGCTGTTTTCATTATAATATCGATTCGTCCCCACAATGCTTATATGTAGATTTCATGAAATTTCACCTTAGTGGTGTTGTAAGACAACTGGAAGCCTTTTAACTAGTGTTAACGTTAACAGATTGCATCTGATATAGTTTGTTCAGAGAAGCATAGTTTTGTTTAATAAACCTTTGACAGTAAAGAGAGAAATGCCATCAAGCTCTCTAAAAAAAGAACCCGCAGACAATAGACTAAACGTTTCATCTTACTTCTCCTTGTTCTGTCAATATTAATACTAGGTGTTGACAATGTTTAGGAATTTGATGTGTACAGGATTTCAATCTAGCTCTCAGTCTTTAATTCATTGGCTTGCAAGTGGTCCATAAAACTAATCTCTGCATCTGTATATGTCTTTTTAAACTCGAAGTCCTGAGCAGTTTTCGTCCCATATTTATTATCCTTGAGGCTTACGTTCGCAATTCAATCTAGTAAGCATCTGTCAGTAGTTCACACCGTATAGTTGCATAGTATTGGCCTATTAGGATCGTATTCACTTAATCCAAGCATCTAAAATTCATTCACCACTCATTTGTCTTCGAATGTCCTGGTACGACCGAGTGGGGTAGTCAACCCAATTCCCAACCCTCCTTCTCTAACCCTAGATGGGCTACTAGTAACCGACGAATATCATCCATTCTCACTGGCAGTGTTTCACAGCTATAAAGTAAAACGTAGCAAACTGGTGTACAGTAAACATGTCCCTTGGTTAGCAGACGGATATCTCGCCTGCGCTATAAGTGACGCAAGTTGGCAAAAGCCTTCATTTTTCTCCTCATATCTATTTTACTGGATTATACATCTTGAATTATACCTCCGGACCGTGATCTGTTATAATACTGCTCATACTTCTACTATTTCCACCGCTATGGGATTTGAATCGACAGTTGTATCTCTGTGCTACCGTTGTATGGCAACTTGAACCGATGTACGTACGTTAAAAGTTCTACATTGTAATGGGCTGACTGAAATAGATATAATTAAGATATTCTCGATCAGGACGAAAAACCGTCGTATGGAATTCATGTGACTATCAGCTTATTGTAAAATTTTCGCTGAATTTGGGTTTTTACGACCATTCAAGACCTAACTAATCCTATGCAACACAAATCTGGGATAACAAATAGCTCTCAGTAGTTACGAGAAGTTTTTCGACTGAATAACCAGTTTTCTAAACTTCACTCTAACACATTCATCAGTTCCTATTTATTAATTTTTCCAGTTTTTGTTCGGATGCCGTGTTCTATAATGGACACGGAAACAACGAAACTACTCACTTCAGAAAATGGTTTGGATCTTTATGTGCTAAAGCAAATTGTTTTCTTTAATATCTCATAATGAGGATACGGGAATCCAAATCATCACCTGATATGAATGTGACCAAAAAGAAGAACACCATTCCAAATATCACAGGGAGCCATCAAATGACTTGGAAGGAGTTGGCTGAAGCTGACGATCTTGCTTCCGCTCTTACTGTTGATCCTTATCTTGGATTCACTACCCACAAAATGACTGAGTATGTTTTTGCAAAGAATATATTCTCTCTTATAGAATGAAGTTAAGGATTCCAGATAGAATAAGAAGAAAGTTCCGTGATATTATATGTGATTTTCAGAAACATAAGTGTTATGACGCTGCTTATAATCAGTTGGTAGCCGATCCAAATATTGTAAAACGTTCTTGGAGTGTTGATCCTCGGTTCAAGGAACATGTATGCACTTTGTAATCTTGATTTAAACTTAGGTTAATCGTTATCTTTTGTTGTTTGACGATCGTTCTGGTATTGAAATCCGACCATGTTGGCGCTATGCATCGGAAAACCATATGGGTGCTGCGATTTTCGCAACAAGAGATTGGTAAACCATGGGAATTCCCATAAAATAAACTTTTAGGGCCAAAGGATCACGTATCAGCACCTTGGTGGGATGTATTGCTGAACTTAAACATCATGAAGAAACTGCATTTCTGAAGCAGCACAAAAATGACTTTTCAGTCATGTATTCTTCTAGAAAAAATTGCTCTCAGTTGTGGTTGGGTCCGGCTGCTTACGTTAATCACGACTGCCATCCAAACTGTGAGGTGAGTATCTTTTTGTTCGGTATACATACAAGATGCATTTTAAGCTTTTACCTTCCTAAACCACCATATTGTATTTATACTAAATTCCAATCTCTCATTTGGGTCCAATTCATTTATTCGTTCAAGTTTGGAGACGTTTAAATAAAACGAAAAAACGTAGATCAACCAACACAAAATCGGGTGATAATCATAGTGCTTAAGGTTGCAATATAAAGATAAGATGTGTGTCATTGTGGTTAGTTTTAAATAATTCTGTTGATAGTGTTTTTTCACTTGTCATATTTTTATTCGTTAGAGGTTGATCACCGACAGTCTTTGTTGTGTAATTAAAAGAGTACCTATGCTTAATTCATAATAAAATTCCATTTTTACCGACCAACTTCATAATATATTTAGTTAATATGAATTTGTTATATACCCTTTGCTGGTCTCCAAAGACTCCTTTAAGCTGGAAAATGAAATAAAGGTTCTTTACCAGTACTTTGTTGTTGAATTAGTCTTGGTTAGATCTTTCAACGACTTATGAACCCCTAAGAAGCTATTAGAAATAATTATTGGCGATTAATAATGAAACAACTTCAAGCATTCAGTTCTCTTTCTAAAGTAATGATAGTGAACGGGTTTTTTGTGTAATGCTAACTGAACATACTTTTTTACTAAGTGTAGGTTTCTGTCATCTAAGCATGAAATTGTTGATTGATAGAACTAGTCATTCTTGCAAATTACCCTATCCTACAATCCTTTTCCTGATTGACTTTAGTTTACGATTAACTGTGATGTTGATGCTCGTATGAGTTTGGAAGCAAAAACAGATATAAAATGTGGAGATGAAATTTTTATCTACTATGGATCTCACTTTTTTGATGTGAATAATGGAGCTTGCGAGTGTTTTACTTGTGAGTTATTGGGGCGCGGCTATTTTAGTAAATTTACTCAAGTGGTTGATAATACCAATGTTCCGAATCAAAAACTGGTTCCAAATATTATGACTGACCAAAAAAACTATACCAAAAATATGGCATTATCGTATCACAATGGCCGTTACAATCCCAATATTCATGGCCATGTACTTCGTGATAGGATGAATTCAGGATCAGGTAGGTTTGTTTCCGAATATTTGTGTAAATATGTTTGTTCCATCAAATTATCACATATCATCCTTATTCGGCGGTATATTATTTCATTTACTAAATACATTATGGGACTAAATTTCATCACTGTTGGGCACATCTATATTTTTTGATCCTGCTTATATTTACTTGTAGTGCATATACAAAACAATTTTTGTTTAGGTGTTTGTTATGTACAATGAGGAGTAATATTTACTCCGTCAGATATATGATACTTACCTTATATGTGAACCAGCCAAAGTTACTACATCACATACGTAAAATCAAGTTGATAAAATCAATAGTGAATAAATTGGCATAACGGTATACAATGGATGTTGTTACTTGTTAAAAGCCAAGCAAGATTTGTCAGTACATCCCTCATTCTTGTCAGCCAGAGACTCACTAGGACTGGCGAGACTTACCAGATACATGGAAAAATGATAAAAAAACACCCAACTGCTTCAACAATCACCGGGATCAAACTAGGTGGTGACAGAGATCAGTCCAAAGGCGATATTTGCATTTAGAGGGGGATATTCGACAAGTCAATCGGCTACAACGTATAACATCGTACATACGTACGTACATCAGTTCAAGTTGCCATACTACAGTGGCTCAGAAAGATGGCATTGTCAGTCCAAACCCCGTAGTAGTTGGCATAGTAGAAGTATTAGCGTTATTGGAGAAGATTAGAGTTCGAGGATATTATTGAAGAAATATAATCCAAAGAGATAAATTGAAAAAAAGAAAGATAAAGGTGGTGAGGAATCCAGAAGATTAGAATTTGAGAGAAGACAAAGAACGGATGCATCTGCGCCATTGTAAACGATCTTGAGCCATGTCGTTCAAGGTCTCTAACCATCAGTTACTATGGTCTCACGGATCCCAACCAGGTAGTCGACACCTACTAACATGGCTGAGTCCAGTTGTCAGTGACTTCGTGGATTTGTGCCATGTTTTGATTTGACCACCCCTAGCTTTCTTCCATCCTACCCCTACATCAGACAACATTGGTCTTCGAGGCATTCGGTGGTTTGTCATACGTACCACATATTCCAGGGATCTCAACTGATGAGGTCTCAATACTTGATCTATTGATCTGCCATAAATTGGGTCAGTTTTGATGTCGACAAGCTACGGTTCAGACGTGTAGAAATTCCAATAATTCTCTTCTATCTGAAGTTTATGCTGATGATGTTGTTCAGAAAAACAATGAAAGCTCCACAACCAAAACATCCATCTCAGAGAACGAAACGCCACTACAAGTATTATATAATGTTATCGATCGCCGAAGACTCAACTTACATCTTTTCACAATCCCTGTGACCTTTTGTTGTGATTTGCAAAGATTTGAAATGTAGTGTAATATAGTGTGATAAAAATAGGTCATCTTCCTCATTCACCAGTCTTACTGTTCCACTTTTGGCTTCTATTTCTATGTGAATAAAGGAGTGAAATCTTAGACTACACCTTCGTTCTAGATTCTTATTAACTTTAAAAGTCGTAAAATATTAAAATGCATCACTTTTTGTTTTAATGCTTTTATAGTTCTTTGCGTTAGTTAAGAAAGTTAATAATGAGATTATTTTTTATTTGTATATTCTTTGTTTTCTGTAGATCATATTTCGTCTGCATGTAATGATACACAAAACGCTAAGCAACTATCTTTGGATTTTTTCCTAGAAAAGGGATCTTCTACTGGCTTAGCTTGTAAAGCACTACCTAATGCCTACGCCTTACGTCATACTGGATCTCGTTTAAACCGTGTTAAAGCTCGATTAATCGCCGCAAAAGTAGCTTCTCTAAACCAGTCTTTTGATGTAAACAGTCAAGAAAACAGAACGCCGAAAATCAAGTCTCCTTACAAGAAGTGTTTATTAAGAAAGGCCATTCCAAATATTACTCCCTCTTTTAGAAGAAACAAGCCGAGTTCACATCCTTATGCCATTGGTAGAAGAAAACTTGTCAAATCAGTCACTGCTGTAAACCATCGACAAATATTATCTAACCGTCAAGTAAAGAAACGTTTTACTTCAAAGAGAACTATTGGTAACCTGTCTGACAACGTTATATCATCGCAAGAATCTGATGAGACAAGTAGTGGATTAGGACAAAGCGTTCACAATGAGAGTAGTGGTTCCAACAGTCCATTACCGCCGGACTTAGATCTTATGTCATCAACTTCACCAAACAATTCATTCAGTGAGACGATTGTCGTTACACCTGATCTTGAATCATCATACTATCTAGAATCAGTAGTTCAAGCGAACACTGACAATGGGAATGTAAACCAAAGATCACCTGATATTAAGACTCAATCTTCTATACCAGTCATCAGTACATTACAAATTACAGGTCTGTTAAACAAAAATTTATATACACCTATTTTCAGATTTGTGTGTTTCAATTTATATCAAATCAAACTGGTTAGATACTGTATCACGTTCTCTATGGACATAGATGATTAATTTTAGCTATCCTTTAATGTTTGAAAATGCACATTTCAACGAAATATGTTACAAAGATTGGCTTTAACATTATGTAGTTCTAATGTTTATTAATCATTCTTTTCTGGGTCTAGGTCTTTAAAATGTAGTTTAATAGAAGTATTTTTCTGGCAAATTTCGGCTGAGTGTATGCTTAAAATGGACGTTAGATACTATCCTGACTGATTTTAGTAGCTAGCGGCTAACTAGTTATTTAAGTTCATACATAAATTTCCTAAACTTTGATTAGGAGCGCATATGTTTGCCAATTAAAAGTGATGCAGAGGGTTAATACTTAATAAAAACAGCTATAATGAACTAGCACTGGAAATCATTCATAAGTTTACTTCAGACAAACAACGAGAGTTAGGCCTATACATCTCGAGTTCTGGAGTGTTTATGTAAGCAGTGCATGACCAATTATTCAATTTTTTAGTGGTTCTTTAAATAAATTTGCAGAAAATATTTTCATTATAGGGTTGTGGAGATTGTTAAGTTTGAGTAAAACGTGGGTCAATCAATGTTAGACCACTATTAAAAACCTGGAAGCAGTGGACGACCGTCTCGTCTTGGTATGCAACTCAGCAGTGCACATCCACAACCCTACAAACTCAGGACCTTCGGTCTCGCGTAGGAATGGTTAACCTCGTGACCACTGAGCTGGCATTCAACGGTGTTGGTGTCAAACATCAGTCAATCCATGATATTGCGTGACCTCATCCATGGACACTATCATCATCGGATGCCGGTTCATTTGTCAAGATATTAAATGTTCGCGTGCGAGACCGAAAGTCCTGGGCTCGACTTCCGCTTGCAGAGTCGTAGATGTGCACTGCTGATGAGTCAGTGCTTCCAGATTTCTAATGGTGGTCTAACATTGATCGTTACATGATTTCAAAGAAAATATTTTATCCACAGTCTGGTATTTTACTTAGAGTGTATTATGATATTCAAGCTAATTCAGTAATCTTACGTATCGAACAAAGCCGTACCATTCAGCATTTGTTGAGTTATGTAGATAAGTATTTGGTTTACAATGATTTGGTTTTTTAAGAAAAATATTTTTTGAAAATAGTTTTAACCACTTCTACGGTATTTATTTATTGAACCGACATTTATTCTGTAATTTCAGCTGAAAGCGAGCTAACAAAGAATGTAGAACCTATCTTGGGAAGACTTATGCATGAAACTAAGTGTTGTAGTGATGCTAAAAACTCACTAACTACTAGTTATTTATTTAATCATTCTACTACTGAACACTGTCGAAAACGTCTAACGAATTATGATGCTCGTTTGATAGCCGAGGCCAGGTTGCTCACTCCAGTATCCAAACAACGTCAACGTAAACCACTAAGTTATCCAGATTCTGTAGAGTATGTTTCACTGAAAAATACAGTGAAATCTCCCAAGACAAGAGCAATAAAGTGTAGAAATAAAGGTGAAATTATGGATGAAAAGTTACAAAATAACAATCGTCATGATGTTAAAGCTGCAAATAACGATTCTGAAAGTTCTTATAATGTGTGCTGCTCACAATCAAGGTTATCTCCTGCTGGAAATAAAGACGTTGAAGCTTCTGGAACACGATATTATCCAATTTCAAGCCAGTGCACGGATATTGAGTCAGTTTCTGAGGATCTGATACCTCCATTACTAACCAGCCCTTCGAAGCTTCATACAACATCATCATTTACTCTATCAGATAGTTCGCATGATATGGGTCCTCCGTCCATATATTCCACAGCTGAAGCGGATGATAGGAGTGACCTCTCGATTGATTCTGAACTCACTGAACCTAATTTGGATACGGAATTCTCATGTGATTATCATATTCCTAACATATCCATACTCCCTTTCGGTCTTCATAATAAGTCCATTACATATGACGAAAAGAGTTCTTCACTGTCAGCTGAACATATTCTTATGGATCATGATTACTCTTTACCTGCATATGGTGCTGAATGTACACTAGTTTCAAATCCAATACTTAACGCTAAAATAAATAGTCAAGATTATCGACAGAAATTAGTGAAAAATTCAGTTCAGAACTCCGAGTGTAACACATATTTACCAGAAGTCGTCCGTACACCCCCACCTCCACTTCTTCAACCAGAAACCCCACCTAATACTTTCGAATTCTGTGCTCGTAATTCACCTTGTAAATTAAAAAATGATTTTCTCACAAATTCATCTCATAGTCCCTCAGTTTCCAACGTTCACAACTCATGGTGGTCTCGAACTTCAGAGACGAAGGACGTTTGGAACCCTAGTGTTTTGTTCTCTAACTCTACTTCACCTGATTGTCGTCGTTTAACGGTCACTCTTAAACGTGTTGGACCCAAGCATTACCAAATATCTCAACCAAGTAGATTTTTTATCAGTTGAAAAAATATTTTGTCTTCAACAATGTATGACAATGTTTATTTTTACTTTCTTGCATATTTATAGGAATGTTTCTATTCTTTATTTATGACCAGCATTTTAGATTTCTTACTACCTCAGATATCTCACCTATGTGTATTCACTACATAAAAATCCATATTCAATATTATCATTTACTTTTAGTATGTAATTATTTTCAGTATGTACATAATGTTAATAAAAGGCACTCTAGCTATTGTTAACAATTTACCTCTGGGTTTTTTCTGAGATTAGTTTCATACAATACGATTCTCTGGCTAGCTTGGGTACCACATGCTATGTTTTCTTATAAACCGATAATGTTGAAATGGTTGCACGCTTTTTAAATTATAAAGCATCTGGGCTGTCTTTCAGATTGCAGCTACTGCTCCACTTACTTCAGTATAGACGATCAGATAATATCACAATCCCGAGTGTATAAGCATGCATAGTAAGCAAATTACATTTGCTAATTAATTAATGGAGATAAGGAACGGGAATGTTTACCTTACATTTTACACTTAACTATTAGTTTTAAAGATAAGGAGCGAAGAAACTGAACACGGAAACTACTTCACTCATTATGGAGCTTTATTAATCACCAACAAAACATTAATTATAGTAGTTTCTTCTGACGTTTGTCAGAATATAGGTATCTAATCATAACTTCGAGGCATTTGCTGCGCCTGTTGAAATGACTTAAGAATGATTAAAGTTTACTGTGATGCTTAAGACTGTAAACATGTATCGACTGGATGCGTTAAGCATAACACAACACAATCCTTCCTCATTTACTATACTGTAATAAATAAACTCCTGAGATGGTGGTCCTAAGATGATTTCACCTGATCAGGAGACTGAATTATCTCACATTAAGAATAACGAAATAGATGACAACTCAACTTCTTTTTCCTAAACCGAGATGTTCTTCACTTCGGTCAATGAGCCATGGAAGTCTGCACACGATTATTTCACTTCATTGTTATGGTCAGTATAGTCGTTAGGAATTTTCCATTTCAACATTAGTCAATGTCACATAAGATTTACCAAGCATACACAACTGGAAATGTAGCCGAATATTTGTAACCTAAAGTAACTCTTGCATGAGGTCACTGACAACTGGACTGAGTCATGCCGGTAGGGTCGACTACCTGGTTGGGCTCCGCGAGACGACAGTAGCCGATGGTTAGAGACCTTGAACGACATGGCTCAAAATCATTTGCAATGGCGGAGGTGCATTCACTCATTGTATTCTCTAAGTTCTAATCGTCTGAATTCCTCATCATTTTTATCTTTCTCTTTCTAAAGTTATCTCACTGAATTATACTTCTCGAATCATATCTTCGAACTCTAATCTTCTCCATTACCACTAATACTTCTACTATCTCTACCACTATGGGATTTGAACTGATAAATACGTCTCTTTGTTGATGGGGTATGGCAACTTGAACTTATGTACTCATGTACGAAGTTCTACGTTGTAACTGACTGACTGAGGGTAACTCTTGTGGTTAATTTATTTTCTGTTTAGAACCCATCCCTACAACTTAAGTGGGGGGGGGTTTACTATGCTTGTAGAAAAGATGACAGGCTTTCTCATGGAATAACCCCATGAACTCAGACGTAATGGGTGGAGTGCTGTTAAAAAATCTTAATGATCTTGATTAAGGTATTGACAACAAAACTGACATTTACGTAGGCGAATATTAGCGTCAACGATATCACACCGATAAGTGCAACTGTGTATAGTTTTTCAATAGTGAATTATAATCCCGAATCATTTTGCTAATTCTGATGACTGACTCTAAAGTTAGATATCTTGGTTGAGATTTGAAACTGGACTCTTTAAAGTTCTTAAATGAAAGTGTTAATTCACATATGTTTACTGGCGCACTAATAAACATGTTACTTGCAAATATTCAGATTGTGATAGTCATTTTCTGTCAAGAAATAATTTAATTCCAATGTTGTATATCTGAAAAATTCATTCAGCCTGTTATCAGCTTGCTTTCCTGTTAGTGACATTGCTATAATTCATTTGACCTCACCTTGTCGAAATAAGGAACGTTGCATCAAATAAGACAACAGTCAGTCAGTTACAACGTATAACATCGTACATACGTACGTACATCAGTTCAAGTTGTCATACTACAGTAGCTCAGAGAGATGGCATTGTCAGTCCAAAGCCCGTAGTAGTTGGCATAGTAGAAGTATTAGCGTTATTGGAGAAGATTAGAGTTCGAAGATATTATTGAAGAAATATAATCCAAAGAGATAAATTGAAAAAAAAGAAAGATAAAGGTGGTGAGGAATCCAGAAGATTAGAATTTGAGAGAAGACAAAGAACGGATGCATCTGCGCCATTGTAAGCGATCTTGAGCCATGTCGTTCAAGGTCTCTAACCATCAGTTACTATGGTCTCACGGATCCCAACCAGGTAGTCGACACCTACTAACATGGCTGAGTCCAGTTGTCAGTGACTTCGTGGATTTGTGCCATGTTTTGATTTGACCACGCCTAGCTTTCTTCCATCCTACCCCTACATCAGACAACATTGGTCTTCGAGGCATTCGGTGGTTTGTCATACGTACCACATATTCCAGGGATCTCAACTGATGAGGTCTCAATACTTGATCTATTGATCTGCCATCCTTACCAAGTACGCGTTTCCTAACATCTGCGTTGCTTACTCGAGATAAACTGGCAATGCTTTCGAGACACCTATGATGGGAAATCAATAACCTACGAATATCCTCTACTCTTAGTGACCATGTCTCACACCCATAAAGTAAGATGTAGTGGACTGCTGCGCCATAGACTGGTCCTTTGGTTAGCATACGAATATCTTGCCTGAGCCATAAGTGATGCAAGTCAGTCGAGTCTGCTGCGTCCGTGCTGAGATTTCGTCAGTCACCAGACAAGTAGTAGTGATGAGACTTGAGATAAATGAGGCAGTCAACACGCTCAACTACTTGATCTCTATCACTTGTTCGGGTCCCGACGAAAGCCAATCATGAAGCAGCAGTTTACATTTCGAAGGGGAGAATCGCATCTCCAACACGCTTACATTGTTGCTTAAGGTGTTCAGTTGACTGCATATTGTCATCGTCTTCACCAAGTAGAAGTATGTCATCGGCATATTCTAGGTCGACTAGCGAATCTCCCGGTAGAAGGTCGATTCCTTAATAGTCAGGTGAAGAGATTCTGATATCTAACAGCATGTCAAGAACAAAGCCCTACTGAACACCACTTGCAGTAGTCAATTCCGATGACAGTTCACCATAAGCTCTAACTCTACCTGTAATGTTCGAGTAGAGAGCTTGTATAAACTTAGTATACCTCTTTGGTACACCTTTTAATGACAGACGCTGCCACAGAATCTCACGATCAACAGTGAATTGCTACCTTGAGGTCAAGGGATACAACAACCGTCGGACGGCTGAATGCATGTTCGTGTTCTAGAACCTGAGGAAGTGTGAATATCTGGTCTATATACCCACGTTCAGGTCTGTAACCAGCGTGGTTTTCTCGAGTCTGCTCTTCACGAGCTCCAATTAGGCGTTGAAGTATGAAGAAGGAAAAACTTCATCTTGTGGAAATCACAGAGGAATAAGTTTAACTAATATAGTGTTCAAAACAATCAGTGAATAAGACCATTCAGATGAGATTATGTCCAGCTTCCTGGTTCTACCTAAGATCTCAGTCAATCTAACTGCTAAAACTGGACCATCATCCTTAAAAATCTTAAGGGTTAACCCACCATGACTTGCTTCTCTCTCTCGCCTTAGATCGCCTTCATACTTTTCAATCTCATTCAGTGTCCAAGGACTTACGTCAACTTGCTCTTCAGGTTGGCTGGAGATGGTGGGTAACAACTGAAGGCCAGCTGGACTTACCCCTTAAGTGTTCTGCACATCGATCTGATCTCCTGGATTTGGGGGTGAATAATAGTTCTGTCTTTATCCGAGTCTTTCTGACAGTCGGATTCCTAATACCAGTTTCTTTGATAAATCTGAATAGTTCTTTACTATTACCGATTGCCTCTGCCTTTCCTATCGCTCTTGCTTTCGCTAACCACTACTTTTTGCGATCATTGTGCAGGCTACTTGTCAGCCTACGCTTAGGCTGCCTCCGCTCCTCATCATGTTCATAGTCAAATGGGATGAGTTTCCGAGCATCTATCAGTTTAGTAGATGCTACTGAATCCCACTACTTCTCCCTAACCTTTAGGTTCAACTTACTGACAGATATCACTACTGTTTCCACAACTTTATGGATATCATTCTAAGCTGTCTCGGGGTGGGCATCAGGTACATCGCTGCCTAACTGTTTTTATAGCTGTTGCTGAAAAATATTCTTAGCTTTGCTGTCATTAAAAAGAACTCTAAGAGGTTTCCTCGAGGTTTCTCTCCTACGTCCAGTATGACGCAGACAAATACTTGCTCGTACTAGAGCATGATCTGAATCTAAACACGTGCTCCAGTACGAGCGGTAGTCTTCTACTGAGTTTCTCCATCTGTGGCTGATAGTAATGTAGTCTAGTTGGACCCATCATTCAGTCAATTTTCGGGGTCTCCTCGTCAAAACATGTTTATCTTCATTCTTAAAGTTAGTGTTTTCCAAAAGCAGGTGGTTATCTGAGCAGTTGCTGCAGACGGTCGTCATTATCTGTTGAATGAGCCGCGACAGCATAAGAACCATCCACTTTTGTTCAGTCTACCTACTTGGACAATAAAGTCATCCACCACTATTATTACATCACAGCGCTTCGTTTTTTTGAAAGAGTTTGAAAAACTTCCAATGAAGTTCATCTTCTACCTCATCTGAGTTGTAATCAGTGGGAGCATGGGCAGAGAAAACAAAGAGGCGACGGTGAGTGTCCTTATCTTTCTGAGTTCTTTCTGTCCGGTTTAGTCGGACAACGCATAAGCGACTATCTACTGAAATCCAGTCTAGGAGAGCTGGTTTTGCTTCAGAACTCAATGCTAAGTCTACACCCGTGATGAGTTTTACAGAAAGCTTTCGGACCTCCGGCAAAATGTTAGGCTCACTGATATTGTAATATCGGTTGGTGGTTTTAATTCTGAAGTCGGTAGACTAAGTTAAAAGTAAAGTCACCTGTATGCATTTTATGGTGTTGTGGCTCACAGATCAGATAATGAAGACCGTCTGCTGCAGCTACGTTCAGAT